CAGGGGACAGAGGGACACCGAGAGCTCAGAAAATTAAACAAATAAAAGGAGTAGAGAGGGACAGAGAGAGAGTGAGGCACAATGTGGTGCCTTATTTAACGTCACAGAGTAACCTGCTTTCTACCCTTTCATGAAATAACCTGACCCTATTTCTCTTTTATCATCCAGCTCCCGGTGTCCTTTCCTCCCTCCATTCTCCCTCTTTTCAGTCATTGAGGACAGAGAAATAACATCTGACGAGAATGTGAGGATTAGTCACAGCAGAGGAGAGAAACGGCAGAGAAAAAAGGAATGTACTCCGTCACTACTTTATATAAAGGTGAAACCTAATGTGCCTCTCCAGCAGCTCTGTTGATGACGTTTCTTTAATAATGTTATTGGCTGAGCTTCTATATAAACAGTTAACCTATTTTAAATAGATCAAATATCTGTTTAGGAGGGAAGGAATCTGTCAGTCTTGAAAATATTTGTCGTAACAGAACACAGAAAGAGAGAACAGAATTCTGATTTATCTATATTTATGTGTACCAGTAAGCATTCAGCTGTGAAATACCTCTATTGTACTCATACCCTAATTTATATTTACAGCTGCTTGTGTGACAAGGCTGTGATCAATGTGGATATTTCCCACGAACCACGGAGCAATGACACAGCACATTTACTAAAATCATCTGCTACTTTAAACTGCAAACGCCTGAACAAAACACATGCCCCGTGTGAGGCTCGAACTCACGACCTTCAGATTATGAGACTGACGCGCTGCCTACTGCGCCAACGAGGCCTGAAACATGCAACAGCTGCTGCAGCTTTAAGAGCTGCAGCGGGGAGAGACGCGGGAGAGAGCAGGGGGAGGGAGTCTCACTCTGAGCATTGTGGAGGATCAGCAACAGCTTCAACCAAACAGATAACAGCAGCTATTTACGATCATATTCTTGTGTACGGTCTCACTGAAAATCAGATTTTAAGGGGCAGGGCTTACAAGCATGATTTGTGACATCACAAATAGTTTGGAAGTCAACCCTGGTCCAATTTGAAAAATGAAGCCACCAGTGCACATACACTGAGAAATAATACTTGTTTTGCAGAAGAATCATTATTGTTCCAAGAAGATTATTTGTGTATGTCTTTTTATATGTTATATATGTTATGCTGGATGGGTCTTTAAATGTATAATCTGTGAATTGTTTTTTGTTGCAGCAGCTTTTCCTCAACCTGCTTCATCTGCTCGTAATCCAGTTAGTGGTTTCCTGAAATTCCCACATTTTGTGCTTGCGTGTCCAGTGAGAGTTTGTGAAACTGTTTCATTCAAGCTGTGAGGTGCTGAGAGTGACAACAATAGCATTAACATAGCAAGAGAGTGAGGGGCTTTCCGCCGCTCAACAAAAAACAAAGCCCGTAGCCACACTGCATTGTGGTCTATGTACAATCTGTGCTTCTTCTTCTACAATGAAATTCTGACTTAATGTTTGCTCAGAGTAAAAAGCAGCCTTGCAGAAAAAATCCTTCTCAAAGACTGAAACCTGACATTTAGCCTAACACGGATGTTTTAGCGGACTGTTTTTCAAAGTCTACGTTGAGAGCCACCCTTGGGGTCATGGGAAATTTAAAATGGGTCGCCAAGAGGTCACAGGGAAAATAAAATATTAAACAAGTGTTGCCAACTATAGACCATCTCTTAATAAAACAGCTTCCCTTCAGTCCTTGCTGCTGTCAATAATACTTTATAAAGACTGTTTATCCATTGAAGCTCTGGTACAGATAATACATTTTATGTGTCGTGGCTGTACAATTTGCTTTACTCTATTATCGCAGTAAATCAACCAGTTTTGGAATTAAACTTCAGAATAATTCAGCAGGCTTCATTGGTTACTGTTGATTCAAGCTTGAGGATATCTTAAGTCTCCCATCACAGTCACATTGTTTTCAAGACAGATGTTGTTCAGAGAAGTAAAGGGCTTACTGCGACTGTGAGAGGTTAACAATGCTAACATATGCTGAATACATCCACCATGAAAACTATTCAGTCAGGCATTTAAATAACTTGGTTTCAGTTGGATTTCCTGTTGTCTTAAACGGCATGTAAATTAAAAATCTGGTTTCCATAATTGGGTTATAGGATTAGATAAAGCAGTTTTCCCAGCTAGTTTTTTTTTTTTTTTTTTTTTCTCTGCCACATATACAGGTAAACAGGTCCGTAATTTGCTTTTTACATGTACGCATGTGCATGATGAAAAAGGAAAGGAAAGTAACGGAGCAGCTAGACAAAATACATCTTCATATTCAAACTAATTCCATCCAAAGTTTCTACCTCTGACTAAAATCCAAACATATAACAATGACATTTTAACTATTATCTATTTTCTGAGAGGACAGATGCCACTTATCGTCATCTCTACTCACTGATTGGATGAGGATGTGTCCAACGGTCTGCCTATCGTGCCACTGGCTGACGCAGCCGGAGACTTGGTCCAGGAAGTGTTCGTGGTGCTCCAGGATCTCT